AGCAAGCATAAATTACTGCAGTTTCAGTTTCTATTCTCACCACCAGACAGCTTGATGAGTGTGATATCCGTTTGATTTTCAGCTTCTAAGAACAGAGCTCTCCGGAGGAGCTCTCAGGAGGAGCCCTAAGGGTGGTGAGCCAGGGCAGCTGAGAATCGTCCTCTGCTGCACCAGGTGAGATCCCCTTGAACTTTGGTGCCCCAATGCACATTTGCTTTAAAAAGCCTCAAGGGGGTACCAGGTGGCACTGACCGATGGGCGACAGTAGCGGGGGTTGACGCACTGTCCGCAGCGTGCTTAGACTGTGGGGCTGCGTGTGGTGCCTCAGAGGAGGGGCCCAGAGGCTGCAGCAGGCAACTCCGGATGCAAGGTCCCTTTCAGCCCATCAGCCCCTAGCTGCAGCTGAGATTGCGCTCCACAGCTCAGTCCTGTTGTTCCTTGCCTGGAGTTGAAGACACAGGGAAAAGATAGTCCTCACATCAGTCAGGTAGAATCCTTAGGCGCTCATTTTTGTGGTGTCCATGTGCCCTGTTTCATGAACTCGGCATTGCTGGATTTTGTGGACCAGGTCATGTTGTCATTAGGCAAATGTTAACATCTGAGCCCCCGGGATATCCTTCACTGTTTCAAAGTGTGTGACTTGTGAGACTTGGAGAAAATCCAGGGCTGGAGAAGTTTTCACTGTCTTTAGACTGACTAGTAAGCTACCTGTGGAAACCTGGGATTATTTACATGACCTAATCAGAGCTAGGCTGTTCTACCTATTTAATATGAATTTGAAAGCTTCTTAACTGGGGGAGTAATTCAGATCTGCATGGAAGAAGGGAGGAAAGGAAGGATGGAGGGAGGGAGAAAAAATTATATGTTCACAGATATTTTCCCAATGCATGCCTTTAAAAGATTGTGTGTGTGTGTGTGTGTGTGTGTACGTACATGTATGCATGTACATGTGCACCATGGCATGCATATGGAGGTCAGAGGACAGTGTTTGGAAGCCAGTTTTCTCCTAGCATGTGAGGCCAGGGGATTGAATTCAGGTTGTCAGTCTTGACAGCAAAAACCTTTCAAATGCATTCTTAAATATGAAATCTAAGGGGAAGACTCTAATTCCTTCTGTTTCTAATACAGTAAATTACTGTGTTTTCAAAAATCTTGCTCCCCAATAATTAGAGAAAAATAACAGAAATTATATACAGGAAGTCTATTTGAAAGCTGGTTGGGTTTTGACTAAAGTATTATCATTTACACCCTCCTGGGGTATAGTGACACTTGTTAATACATTGCCTAGCTTTATTTTTATTTTAGGTATGTGAGTGTTTTGACAACATATACGTAGGTGTATGCAATGCCCATGCAGGCCAGGAAAGGGTGTTGGATCCCCTGGAATTAGAGTTATGATGGTAGCTGGGAACTGAACCCAGGTCCTCTGTAATAGCAGCCACTGCTCTTAACCACTGAGCTAGTTCTCCAGCCCCTCTGATGTTGCCTTTTATCTTCTAATTTCCATTCTTCTCTAAGGTAATTGAATGTTGGGACTCTAATATATTTTATGTCCACAGAACTGAGCATGGTGTCAGGCTTGTTTAAAACATGTAGATAGTATGCGATGTCAAGGTTATGTCTATCCCAGAATTTAAATGAGCTGAAGTCTCCTGTCTGATACCTATATTGTAAATCAGCCTTGGTCTAGAACTATCCCACAGTTTATAAGGTGACACTGCAATATTAACAGCATCCAATCAGATTGCACTTTGCATTAGAATGACATGTGATTAGCCAATAGAGAACATTGATATTTCTCAATTAAGAAATTTGTCGGTTTAGAAAAACTTATTGAGGCAGTTGATTCCGATGGGGAAGTTTTGGTAGTAGTCTATAAAAGTGAGATGGGCAGATTGGTTTTAATTCCTGCTCCACTGAGTAACTTAGAGAGGCTCTAGGCAGTCATTCGGCGTGTGTACATGGCCCTCCCTACATCTGAAAAGGAAGAATAACACTTTCATCTACAGGGTTCTTTTAAAGACCATGGAGAGAATGCAGATAAGGTGCCACTTCCAGAACTTTTCTCTCAGAAGGGTTTATTAATCAGGATATATTTTTTTGGAAAATTATTAGAAATAACATTTTAGGGAAATTATTAGAAATAATATTCACATGTAATCTTCATCATCATGGGCACGATGGAGATAGAGGGGCTTCATAAGACCCTGTCTCAAAAAATAGTCAAACAAAAGAAAGACGCCTGTGGTAATGTGTGTTCAAGGCCAGTTTGTGCTACATAGTAAGTGTGAGGCTTGGGCAACGTGCGACTCTGACTCAAGAAAAGAAAAGAATAAAGAAAGAAGGAAAAGCGTATGCACACATGCAACAAACAGGAAAGAGATTACACTTGCTAATAGACTTGTCATTTGAAATGGCTTAGAGATCTTATTTTCTAGTAAAAAGGGTTTTTTTTGTTTATTTGGTTTTTGGTTTTTGGTTTTCAGATTACCATGGCATCTGGAGTCAACATGACGTCTCCCATTTGTCTAGTAGAAAATGAAAATGAGGAGCTGAGGGTGAATCCCAGTGCAGTTAGGGTTCTTGAAAAGATTACTCAGCCTGTGGTGGTGGTGGCCATTGTCGGGCTGTACCGCACAGGAAAGTCCTATCTGATGAACCGCCTGGCAGGACAGAACCATGGTGAGTGCTGTCCTGGAACAGAGACTGTTTGCTTGGAACCACCGACAGTGTAAGACGATCATCCCTGCTCAGCTCAATTCCTGTAACCATCCCCTCTCTCCCACTTTATTTTTCTGCAAACATAATCAATGCAAATGCATTTCATCATGTCTTTATTAAAATAACGAAGGAGTGGTGGGAAAGAAGTGAGGGAGAGGAGGAGGAAAGAAGTGATGATTTGTGTTAATCCCATATGCTGTTGGAGTTATCTTTGAATACACACAAGAGTACATAAAACAGCGTGTAAAATATGATTAATTAAGGGAATTCTTATTTAATTCTTATTTATTTAATTTATTTCTCGACTATGTCAAGAAATAACACTGTGTGAACAGCCAAATACCCTACTCCTACTCATTCACCTCACACCCTCCCAAGGCTCATCAATATTTTGATTTCATGAAACTTCCCCAACTGATTTACAAAAAAACAGTTATACAATCTAAATATGCACCTACAAAAATCAGTTCGCTTTTACCTACATTTAAACTTCATAAATAATATACTTATTTATACATATTTAAGCATCTATTTTAATATATAAGAATATATACTGGATGTATTCTGGTGTTGTTTGCACCTAATGTTTATGAAATTCATCCAGTTTGTCATATGTATTATTGTTATGTAAATTTTATAGTATGCTAATATATGAAGATAACACTATTTATTGTGGATACATTGGTTTATTTTCATGTTTTATCCTTAAAAGGCATAAACTTGTCTTTTATTTTGGTACAATTTTCACACAAATTTTCCTTGTATAATATAACCAGAAGTGAATCTCTAGTTTGCAGGATATTTGTATGCCTAGTGTTTCCAAATAATATCAAGTTGTTTTTAACTTCATTGTGTAGTTTACATGCTTATCAGCAGCAACTGAGAATTCTGCATTTTCTTACATGAATTCAGTGTGATTTTAATCTGCACTGGTGTGGCGACTTTGGTTCAATGCCACGGTCTTTGTGATAGATGTAGTGGAACAGCTTTTCACATCTTACCATTCACATTTCCTGTTTTTGTTAAATGTGTGCTCAGGTCTCTTTAAGAATCAACCCCACCCCTTTACTTCATTTTGATTTCAAGAGAACTTGCCCTTGGTCCTCCTTTCACCTTCTCCCTGTGAAGAGCCTGCAGCTCCATTTCCTTCCTGGCATATTGTGACTTCATTAACTCGCCATCTTTATGCAGTTAGGGTAGAACCTCAGCCTCCTGCGTCCTACGAACTCACTCACACTCATGTTGCTCTCTTCTCTTCCCTGGCAGGCTTTAATCTTGGCACCACAGTGAGGTCTGAAACCAAGGGCATCTGGATGTGGTGTGTGCCCCACCCCACCAAGCCAAAACACACCCTGGTCCTCCTGGACACTGAGGGCCTGGGCGACGTGGAAAAGGTGGGTCAGAGAGTCATGGAAGGATCCTATCTGGATTTCACTCATCATGTACCATTTAACTGCCACTTTAATTCAACCTCCGTGCTTATTACTACAAAATGCAAATCCAGTTATGAATAAAAAGACTAAACTGTTTCTTTGAGTTTATTCTTCTGATAGCTTGGTTTAACATGGGATATTTGTTCTTGCATGAATAATACAGCTTAGTGAACATTTATTGAGGAACTGAGTTTCAGGGTTTCATGGTATATTCTACAGGTAATGCAGTGCAAGATAAAGGCCCAGAGCCTAGTTCAGAGAAAAGCAGCAAGATCAGCACAAATTGCCCTGGGTGTGCAGATCAGACCCTTTACCCAGTCATTTGGATTAGAGAATGCTTCTGGGAAGAAGGGCTATCTCAGCTGTCAATAGGTCAATAGGAAGTTGTGTCTAACTTGAAGATAGCAGCAGTACGGTTAGACTTCTATTACTGCCGAGACAGGATCAAACATTTTATTACAGTGAGCAACATTCTTAGTAACGACCTCTGTATTATACCAAGATGTGCTCTTGTAGAAGCAGATTGCTGTTTGACCTAACCTCTGTTTCTATTTATCTGGATTGGTATTTTAGAGATAGTGAAATAAGGATTTGAAAGACATTTCTTTCTCAAAATATAAAAAATTTCCTGCCTTCTCAATCAAACCTGGTAAACGTACAATGCATATGCTGTATATGTGCAAGGGAAAGACACCATAGTCCATACTGATGACACTGTAGGACTTATTGACTCAGAAGCTTGTGGGACTTGGTTGTATCTGTTTTTGACTTTTGTGGCAGCACCTCTCACCTCGAATCTCATTTTCAGCTCCAACTTCTAAGCCCTCACACATAGCTACTGCCTCAGTCAATTGGAATAAGTATGTAATACATTAATATGATCCATGCATGATTTCCTTCAATCGACAAGTATGCATTCTAGCAATTCTTTCAAAAGAAGATATTTGGGGACTGGAGAGATGGCTCAGCAGTTAAGAGTACTGACTGTTCTTGCAGAGGACTGAGGTTTGATTTCCAGCATCCACATGGTGACTAACAACTGTCTACAACTTGAGTTCCAGGGGAATCTGATGCTCTCTTCTGACCTCTGCAGGCATTGCATGACATGGGTGTACTTACATACATGCAGGCCATATATTCATACACATAAAATAAAAATAATAAAGTATTTAGAAGAAGCTATTTTGAACCATAGGCATCACATCCCAGTTACCCTGTCATGTCTCCTGAAGTTGTGTAGCACTTGTTCCTTTGTATTAACATTAACTATTTTTCTTCACACACCAGCATTCTGCTCTTGGCAAAGATGATCATCATGGCTGTATCTGGGTATTTACATGCCTTTGTGTCTTTCCAGATTGTCATCCGAAAATCTGCATTCACACAACTCAATGTAGTATCTGGTATTTTTTAAATATTCTGAGAATAGTTGTTGAATTTCAGTGACTATTCCTGTCTCTAATACAGCCACACTCAATAAAACTTTACTAATGAAATGGCTTCTGATCATTGCATGCATGCTATGCTTAAGCACTAGAGCAGGCATTTTACACATTTTGACACTGTTATAGATTTTGGTCATGGAAACTGCAGCACTGATAAAGATCAGTTTCAATACTGAGAAGGAAATGTGAATTAAGATATTCTCCAAAGCATCTCTCTTCACATTACTACTCTGCTGATTGTCAGCTGAAGGTGAATGAATGAATGAAAGGATGGAGCAGAGACTTACTTCCCTGCTCCCGTGTGTCTTCCAGGGGGACCCTAAGAATGACTCCTGGATCTTCGCCCTGGCCGTGCTTCTGAGCAGCACCTTTGTCTACAACAGCATGAGCACCATCAACCACCAGGCCCTGGAGCAGCTGCAGTATCCTTTCTGGGACCAAGCCTCTGGTTCATTGTGTCTAAGAGAACAATAGCTGAGACTCTGCGTTCTTAGAATTTAAGAAAAGCAAACACAGACAGACAAAAGAGGATGCTTGTAAAATGGTTGTAAGCGAAATCTGGAAAGTACGACATGATGTTTTATTCTTTAGCTAAGATTCCAGCTATGTCACTGAACTGACTGAGCTAATCAGAACAAAATCCACTTCAAAATCTGAAGAAATAGATGACTCTGACGAATTTGTAAGTTTCTTTCCAGACTTTGTCTGGACTGTTCGGGATTTCACTCTGGAGCTGAAGTTAGATGGACGCCCCATCACAGAAGATGAGTACCTGGAGAATGCGCTGAAGCTGATTCCAGGTATCAGAGCCTGGCCTGGGTGGGGCAAGGTCCCTAGTCCCCTCATTCAGCACTTGGCATAAATGCTGATTTTGAGCCTGGATTGATCTCCATGCCAATGATAAACTGGTGATGGTTGAAAAGCAACTGGTGTAATTTTTCCAGGGTTATTAACCCTAGAAAATCCTCAGCAGCTGAGGTTCAAGCTCACTGGAAGCAAAATAAGGCATAAACATTGGACCGAATTATCTTAGACCTATTAATACTATGAAAAAATATGCAGATTGAAATACATTCTATAGTTTCAAAAGCCCCAATTGTGCACCTATTAAGTACTTCTGTTCTTCATATATAAAACTAAGAATTTGATAGACAAAGTGAAGTGATCTAGTTTTCAAATTGTCATTATTTTCCACAGTGTATTTCCCTAGCAGTTGGCTAGTTAGTGTTTTCTGGAGAAAAGGTATTATGTAGTGAATAGTTAAGAAAAAGTGATATTTCCTTTCAGTAGGACTCAAATATTTCATTTTTACCTTTTTTTGTAACATCAATCACTTGACAGTGAATAACTTTGACATTATAGATTTATTGAATATACCATATTTAGCAAGATAGATGACTTTGGGCACTTGAGGCTTCTCAATAACTTTATTCATTCATTTATTTTGCTTTCAAGAACCATTCATTGAACACTTGTGTAGCACAGGATCAGTGTGTAATTCTCAGTTAAGACTAATAAACTCTAATTTAGGAAACGGAAGTGATCTTCAAATTACATTTGATTTAATATTGTTCTTTTTCTTTATAATTTTCAAGGAAAAGAATCTGTAAACACACTTATGGCATGTGTCCATAGCTAGTTGATATTTGTAAGAATTTTTCTGTCTTGACCTGGATATTATAAGTCTTCATACAGTTTTCCTAGTAGCATCTTTATTATTTTTCTGGTATCACTTTATTCTAAGGCCCAAATTTCACTTCTGACAAGGATAGAGTAAAATCAGAAAAATACTTCAAAAAGTTTGGTTTTGTTGCCTAAGCATCCAGTAAACATTTACTAAATTCTTAATCCATTGGAGTCTGTGTCAAATGCTAGGGAGACCAAAGATCAACTGTCCTCATTCCCTGGATCGATGTCCTCTTAATCGCCATAGTTACTTCATTGCTTTTGACTTCTAAACAGAAATGGATTTGTCCTGTCTTAGATGCTCAACAGAAATAAAATGCCATGTGGGTGAATTATAGGAAGAGACACAGGGAATGTACTTATCCTAAGCTCTATGGGAATGAAAACACTGTGCCCCTTGATGAAGACTGTCCTTTCAAAGATCAGATTTCTTTGTTTCACTTTTACAGGCAGGAGTGTCAAAGTCCAAAATTCGAACATGCCTAGGGAATGCATCAGACATTTCTTTCCAAAACGAAAGTGTTTTGTGTTTGACCGACCTACAAAAGAAAAGGAACTCTTAGTCCATATTGAAGAAATGCCAGAAGATCAGTTGGATCATAATTTCCAAGCACAGTCCCAAAAATTCTGTTCCTACATCTTTGCCAATGCAAAGGCCAAGACCTTGAAAGAGGGAATCACTGTCACTGGGACCCGTGAGTCATCTTTGCTCCAGAAACTCTCTGCTTTTTAACTGTGTACTGTAAAACTGATTATGCTTTTGCATCTCATATGAACACAGGGAGACAGCTCTTCATGCTACATAGAGAAATTTATCTTTCTTAACTATTGTCTCTCTACGTGGGGCTTTATTGAGACCTAATACATCCTTGGAAACTAATGATTAAGCACAGCTAAGGTTAAAGAGAGAATTCCTGTGTTTGAATTACAAGGAGACAAGAGCTTCTTTGGTTAGAAAAGAAATTTTGTGAGTTTACAGTAGGTTTATTGTAAATAAGAGACCCAGCTTCCTAAAAGCTCGTTGTGAGTTTGAGATCCAAATTCACTATTATTGGGCTGGGAAGATGACTTAGTCAATAATCCCTCCCCAGAATCTACCTAAAACATCTGAGGGTGGTGGTATATACTTGTAATTCCAGCACTGGGGCAGGCAGACACAGGCAAAGCCCTGGGGCATCCTGGTCTGCCAGCCTAAAATTAAATAGATGGACAGCATCTGACACCAGAGGTTTTCTTCTGGCCTCCACACATACTCGCACACACACACACACACACACACACACACACACACACACCCCAACACGTAAATGTGCAACTGCACACACATGAACATACACACCCACACGCATACATAAATTCACTATTATCTGAGATACAGATGCATTTGTATGACACAAAGACACCAATCGTACAGTCACACAGTAGCCCCGTCCTGAGAAGAGCCGCTTCTGTGACATGATGCTCTTTGTCCTGAAATTCTTGATACATTTTTACATAGAGATTATCACATTCATTTGAGGTTGGGTCTCGTTTCACTGAGTCTGGAGCTGTTTGTATCACTGAACCTGCCTCCCCAGAAGGGCTTTCTTCCGTCAGTGCTCATTGGCCGTCCTGACCCCGTTCATCGCTTCTGCTCCCTTTGTCCTCATGGACCAGTGGCCAACGACCCACGAGGGGAGGGAGAGACCCCACAGGGTCCCACAAAGTAGGCTTTTGGTCTCATACATGTAATTGTCTTAGCCAAGATAATCTATGTCACTTTTATTTTCTACAAAAAATTGTTGACAAGATAGCCTGATCCTATTGTTGAGGGTTGGCAATTTAAACTGTACTATATGGTGCTGGAGGATGGAGGCCAGTGAAAGAGCCCTTGTCCAGTCTGTACAAGCTCTGGATTTGGTTTGATCCCTAGCACTGCAGTAGACAAGCAGCAAACAAATATTAACACATGATTTAAGAGCTCTAAAGAAATAATAAGAAAACAATGTTACTAGAAGAATGTAGCCTTTTTCAAATAAGAAGAAAAATTATACTAAATAATGCTTTGCTGATTTTTCAGAATCCTTATTCCTGAATCATGTAAAATCAACAAGGGCTAGCTTGACATTTAACTTTAAGTTACTTGGCTCATCCAGGGTTGGGGACTCTGGTGACAACCTACGTGGATGCCATAAATAGTGGAGCAGTGCCATGTTTGGAGAATGCAGTCACAACTCTGGCTCAGCGTGAGAACTCCATGGCTGTGCAGATGGCAGCTGACCGATACAGTGAGCTGATGGACCAGAGAGTGAGTCTCCCCATGGACACACTCCAGGAGCTGCTGGATGTGCACACAGCCTGTGAGAAGGAAGCCGTTGCTGTCTTCATGGAGCACTCCTTCAAGGACACAAATCAGGAATTCCAGAAGACCTTGGTGGTACTGTGCCTTGTCATCTTTTTCAGCCCTGATTCCTGCCCGCCAGGTTGTTGCTTAAGGCTTGCCTTTTTGACCTGTGGTTCATCTTCTATTTCTGACATAAGGAGCCTAGATTCTTGTGAGTAACAGGATTCTCCAGGTTCATAGTTGGCTACTTAAAACACGAGCGCTTGATAATTTTCATCCTGGGATAACAAATCACAATGAACAACTCAGCCTGAAAAAACAAATGTGCATTAACTCACAGGTCTGTAGGTTGTAAGCACAGTAAAGGGAGGCTGGGGTGCCCTGCTCAGGGCATCATGGGACTGAAACAAGGTGTTAACTGAATTGAGTCCTGACCTTCTAGCTTTGGAGAGCCTGATGACTCAAGCAGGAGAATGTCCTGGATTGTAAATTATGCATGTAGCAAATCTTTCATTGCTGTATCTTCACAATGCCCATATGCTACACAGGAGAATTAATGAAGGGTTCATGAATCTGTACAGGGAAGACTTGTCATTATTGTGAGGGATGCCTTGTTCACATACGTGTTTTCCTCAGATGCTTTATGAATCCTCTGAGGAAACTCTCCTGCCAGCCACACTCCACTTTCTACTGTTCACTTGATCACTGTGCTGAAGAAAGAAGCATAGGTCCTGCTGTTCAGTCCTATGATTTCATGGAGACGAGTCCCAGAGTAAAATCAGGGACTTTCCACAGATGCTCAGACAGGGAGTCAGGCATGGGACTGAAGAAAGTCTCCCGACTTCCAGTCTTCTTTGCATGTTCCAGTCCATTTGTGGTTGCCAGACTGCTTCTTCAAGACCACTTTGGACCTTTCTTCCGCATCTTCTTTTTATTATAGCTCTGCAATTCCTTGGCAGGTTGCCATAGAGAAAACAAAGGAAGACTTCATGAAAAAGAATGAAGAGGCATCCGTCCTACATTGCCAGGCTGAGCTGCAGAAGCTTTCAGAACCCCTCATGGAAAGTATTTCCAGCGGAGCTTTCTCTGTTCCTGGAGGGCACAGCCTCTACTTAGAAGCCAAGAAGAAGGTTGAGCAGGGCTATGAGCAGGTGCCCAGGAAAGGCGTTAAGGTGAGGAATGAGGGATAAGCACACAGTGCACAGTTACTCAGAGAATCTCCTTCCATCTAAAACTTAACGGCACAGAATCATTTGTGAGGAGAGAGCAGATCAGCTGATGTCTCTGGATTTTCAGCATTTCTTTTTGTTCAGAATGGAATCTTCTTTGTTTTCAAATTTTTCATTGTATATATTCACTGGACATGGTACTGTATTACACAAGGACATTTTCATACAAGTATATATTGTGTGATGGTATCTTCTCGAATCTCACCCCCTTCTCAAGCCAGAAATATTCTATGCCCCCAACAGTACTGCATAAATAATTCCATCTGGAGTAGCACATTTTATTTCCCACTTACTAAACAAGGCAGCTGTTTCTAAGCTAAATGAATGGGATTGAAGATTAAAGACACAACTTTGTTTGAAAGATGCTGATGATCTTGCCTCAGGTATAAACAACCAATTTGAAACATCAGGATAAGAATGACCACCCTGGCATGAACAGAGACCAGAAATGATAGCCTGATTAATAATATGATGGTATTAATAATAATGCTGACATATTTAACTCTCTTTTCAGTTTTTATTTTCCTTTGTTTTGCTCTGAGATGGTGTCTTGCTTATGACAATCCCAGACTGGCCTTGAATTTGGACTCTTTCCACCTTAGCCTCCCCAGAGTTAGGATCATTAACATGAGCCACCATACCCCATTGTACCATGCACATAGTCAGCAACCTGAAGGAACATGCTACTTTGGAAGTTACAATTCAAGCCTCAGGATAGTGTTATAACTAGGTGTCGCTGCTGTGCTCATTTTATAGTTGTGAAATGAGGTAACTGAGAAGCCAATGAGATGCTGGGCCACAGAAGAACTGGTGAGGTAGCTCAGGCACTTAGCAGCTGTCCAGACCTCAGAAAGCAGCTCAGGAAAGCTTCCTCTAAAAGAAAATAGAGTCAGGACGAATTGTCAATGGGTGTTAAGCAGGTTAACAAAAACACTATAAGCATCCTGGCAGACAAGAAGAATTTTGAGGATTTTCATAGATCTCAATGGTTATAGCCTGAATTGAGTTGTAGAAAACTGTCTGGAGCGGGAGTTAGAGCCTTTAGACGGGGCTACTATGTAACGTTTTCAAGAATCATAGAAGAGATTGGAATTACTGTTGTGGCTGTGCAAGGAAAGTAAACGGGGGATCTTATGGTGAATACAAAAATATACAGGGTTTAGAGAACAGCAGTATGTTTTGTTACCTGGAATTTTCTGGTTTCCACAGGCAAATCAGGTTCTCCAGGACTTTCTGCAGTCACAGGTCACTATTGAGAACTCCATCCTGCAGTCAGACAAAGCCCTCACTGATGGACAGAAGGCCATGGCAGGTACATAGGAAGACTCGGTTCTCACAGGGGTGGGTGGGCTCCTGCAAAGCCTGCTGACTGATGAATAGGAAGATCTTCTAGTATATAAGACATTCATCTAAATCTGAAACTAAGAGGGCAGCATGGCTGTACTCAGCCAGTGTGACAGGTGCCTTCTAGGATCACTCTGAATTGTTCTCTGGAGATGCGGTGACTAGAATTTGGACTTCTTTCTGGCAGTTTTCAAAATCAGTTTGGTCTCTGAGCCCAAGAATGGAGAGCTCAGTCCTGACTATTCATTTTTCCCTCTCTCGAACCTTTGTGGAACAGCTGAGCGGGCTCAAAAGGAGGCGGCTGAGAAGGAGCAGGAGCTGCTGAAACAGAAACAGAAAGAACTAGAGCAAGTGATGGTGGCTCAGGAAAAAAGCCACAGGGAAAACGTGGCCCAGCTGCAGCGGAAGATGGAGACGGAAAGGGAGAACATTCTGAGAGAGCAGGAGAAGATGCTGGAGCACAAGCTGAAGGTGAGGCTGGATGGGGCCTGGAAAGCACCAGAAGGACCATTCTCAGGCCAGGCCCTGTCAGACACCTCCCACTCAAGAGGTGGTGCTGAGGGAACTGCGTTATCCTTTATCACCGCGCGGGAAGCATCAGGCGAATTCCTCTCCAAGAGAGCTTTATGGGGATCCATGTCCTTAAGCACTTGAGAAGATAAGGGCAAACCTCAGACCTTCAGGGAGCCTGGGTTTTCAAGTGTAATTTTCTTCTTATAGGTCCAAGAAGACCTGCTTAATGAGGGATTTAAGAGGAAATATGAAGCAATGGATGAAGAGATAAGCCAACTACAAAAAAAGATTGAAGAAAATAAGGAACAGAAGAGCTCACTGGGTGCCCAGCTCTTCGATGGGATTGGAAATGTGTTACTCTCGGTACTGCCGGGTCCTGGTAAACTGGTCGGTCTAGGGATGAAAATAATGAGCAAAGAAATGAAATAAGCTAAGAACGTTTGCTAGGAAAGTGCAGGTATGGCTTCTTTTTTCCCTGAGGTTCATTTTGAAAGTCTTCATTGTTAGTTTCATTTATTAAAAATGTCAAAAATAAAAAGTAACCTCTTTCTAAATTTTTTGTGTTAGGTGTGCGTGTGTGTGTGTGTGTGTGTGTGTGTGTGCACGCGTGCGCACAGGCATGCAGGACACCTCGGATGTCTGATATCTGCCCTCAGCTTCCACCTTATTTTTCTTAAATTTACTATTATTTTTATGTGTATGACTGTTCCGCCTGCATGTATGTAAGTGCACCAGTATCGTGCAATGCCCATGGAGGTTAGAAGAGGGCATTGGATACCCCAGAACTGGAGTTACAGACGGTTGTTAGTCACCATGTGGATGCTGGGAATCGAACCCAGGTCCTCTGTAAGAGCAGCCAGTGCTCTTCACCGCTGAGCCACCTCTCCAGCCCTGTCCTTCCACCTGGTTTGAGACAGGGTTTCTTGCTGCTCACTGCTGCCTCAGCCAGGCTGGCTGTTCCAGGAGCTTCTGGGGATTCTCCTGTCTCCACTTTCCGTCACCTCACTGTGGGAGCACTAGGATTACAGGCATGTGCTGCCCTGTCCAGCTTGAGTGGGTTCTGGGGGATTTAACTCAGGTCCTCAGGCTGTACTCATGAGTCATCTCCCCAGGTGAAAACTAGTCTCAATATATCAGTACCTGCCAGAAAAAGAGACAAGTTTAATATTGATTATATTCATTTAAATAAAGTGACCATTTTGAATATATGATGAAGTGTAAGGGTATTGTTCTAGTTTGTTTCTTCATTGCTGTAACAAAACACTCTGACCACTACCAACTTGGGGAGGAAAGGGTTTATTTATCTTACATCTCCTGGGTCACAGTTCATCAGGGAGCCCAAGGTAGGAACTCAGGGCAGGAACCTAGAGTCAGGAGCTGGAGCACAGGTCATGAAGGATCACTGCTTACTGGCTTGCTCCCCTGGCCCCTGCTCAGCCTGCTTTCTTATGCAACACAGGCCCACCTGCCTAGGGGTGGCACCATCCACAGTGGGCTGGGCCCTCCCACATCACTCAACAATCAAGAAGGTGCTCCTCAGACATGGCCACAGGCCAGTCCAATGAAGGCAATTCCCCACTTGAGGCTTCCTCAACCCAGGTGTGTCAAGTTGACACCAAAGCTATCCAGCACAGGTATAATACATCCAAACCAATAAAACCCTATAGAATCAAATCATCCAGAAGCCAATAAAACCAATTTGAAGAAATGTGGAAACTATTACTGAAAATGACAAGTTCTTAAATGGAAAGAAATGAAAGTCCTGGTGCTTTTCCAGTCACTATATACATTTGTGATAACCGATACCAATATGTCAAGCATCTTCTTTGGAAATAGATTTGCTTTACTATCTCTGTGTGAGTGCCACAAGCAAAATAACCAAGGAACTCTGAAAACAAATAGAATGATAATAACTGAAACATGATAGCTCACCCCTGTAATCCTAGCATTTGGGAGGCCAAGGCAAGTTCCAGACTAACCTGGACTATGTGGTAAATTCCAGACCAGCCTGAGCTACAAGGTGAGGCTCTACTGAAAAACATAAAAACTAGCTAAATAAAATGAAACAAATTGAACAAATCTGAGTAAACAAGCTCTTCCCAAGTGGCCAAACAGTCCAATGTGTGGCATTGTAGAACCAGCCCCTGAAGGCTGCAACAAAGAAACACAACAAACCTAGAAGTCTAGGTGCCTCCTGGAGTCAGGTAGAAATTCAGGATATGGTCAATTTCACGATTTATTAACAATTCAGCCAAAATTGAAGAAAGAATAAAGTTGGAGTCATCTTTGTACATTGTAACAAAGAAAGATCAGATAGATCAAAACATAGATGTGCTGTTATTGAAAAAAAAAATGGGAGAGTTCTCAGAACAGAATCCTGGGGCAGGAGGAAGCCCTTTCCAACTGTGACATAATAGAAATGCAGAAAGGAAGCTACATGATGAGGGACACCAGCAAAACAGAAGAGAATGGAAAAATGAAGAATATAAATGTATAACTATCTTGTAGATTTAATGTTCATTTGTGAAATTGAGATATGGCACCTTCTTGACCATAGCTACATCATGTTGAAGTTTAGGCTGACTTTAGCCTCTGAAATTATCAGGCAGTTGGTCCAGGGTATGGGAACATATGTCAGCAGAACCCCAGTTGTCTTGGGAACAGATCAGCATGTCCTGGAGTGCACCTGCTAACTGCAGATTCACGGCTTCTGTAGGTTATGCTTGGCTTGCTTCTGCAAAATAGTAATTGTTGCTTAATAAATAGAAATTGTTAAGGGAACTTGGCACCTGTAACTTTTCACCCTGGGACTTAAACTTTTCACCCTGGTTTGGGTTTCTCTGTATAAAACTTACTCTAGAGATGGCTCAGGCTGCACTTGGGTTCTGACACCCTTGTGTAGTCACTGGCCAGCTAGTAAAAGACTTTCACTTAGAAAAAATTTTGTCTGAGTGATCTTCTCTGGTGAAGCACCTCACAACGAAATGACTGACACTTATATGTCTGATTCATACTGAAGAACTGCAAAAGAAATGAAAGGAAATGTATATAGATGCTACCAACAAATGTAGAAACCAGCAATGGTACACACCAAATGACACAGGGTTCTCTGGAGGGACAGAGCCAATGGTGTGTGTGTGTGTGTGTGTGTGTGTGTGTGTGTGTGTGTGAGAGGATTTATTGCATTGTGTTACATGCTGGGAGCTAGATAATCCTGTAATGAAATTCTGCATATAAGAGAGTCTAAGAATTAGACTCACAGTCTAGAGAGTAGGAAGCTTTATTAGTCCAAAGCCATCGCTGAGATTCTGGATGCTTTCCAGAGAGTCTCTGGCACTGAGTCCTCACTAAAAGGCTGAAGTCTGATTCACTCTTTCACTTAGAAAAGAGTGGCTTAGTAACTCCTGCTGGTTGCCTCCCTCGTGCTTTCTTTTCCTCACATGAGTAGTTTGGTTGTTTAACAGTGCTTTCCTATTCAGGGTGAATCTTTACTCCTTAGTCACCATCCCACATGTCAATTCTTTCACACCTACAGACACACTTTCAAGATGACCACCCAAATCAGACATCACACTGATGTTACCTAACTCATAGAACTCAGCTGCCTCTTCCTCAGGTGCACTTTTGTTGAGTGTTAGGACACAAACAGAAATGACACAGCAATTGTGAGAGAATGTGAATGAGAAAGAGTTGACAAGGTGTTCATGTGAAATGATAGAAGTTAAGAAATCAAAAAGGAATCAAAGTGAGGTGAAGAACTCTAAAGGTGAAGTAGAAGCATGCTAGCATACCTTCAATCCTAAGATGTCAGTTTTGTAATAAAGTCTATGTACACACCCCAATTAGGTTCCCAACATAAGACTTATATAAGAAAAAATTTAGTTCTGTGTTAAATTACTGAAATAACCAGAGAACTACATCAGAATCATCTCTGTGCATTCTCTAAGAGCAGAGTCTCACGACCTTGTACATGGTATTTCTGTAGAGTAGTAAGTCAACTCTTGAACCTTCACACAGTTCCCTCTGCCCGTTCTGCTTCCTTTCTCAACTGCCAGTCTGGAGTTAGAACTCACCTTGTTGAGTGGCTCTTAATCTCGATATACTTTTCAAGGAAACTTCAGTGTTGGGTGGTAGAACAGGGTAGAGATATGTTAGGAACTGAAAAAGTCCAGAGGAGACCTTTTCCAAGGAATGTGGAGAATAGCTTAAGGAGGAAGCCTATGTTCTTCTTCCATATCTGTGGGTGTTAGTAGTGGCGATAACACACTGACAAAGATTGTTTGACTTAATTGGGCTCCTACTGACAACAACAGAATGCAACCACTCCTGGTACAAGATACAAATAAATTTAATGATCAGAATAAGATTAACAGACACATTCTTAAGACTCCACTGCTTCCTCCAAATAAACAGTGCTACTTGGAAAATTTGCCCCACTGATTCTGTTTTAGAATTCTTGTCCTGAGTTTTATTGATCTTATTCCATAAATTCTCTTCAGGAACTCCTCCCCATATCAACCAAGTAGGATGATCAGCCAGGCCCAAGTTCTCAGCACCTGTCCACCATGAGCTAAACCTGTCTATACCATGGTGGAATCACTCCTGATTTGACTTGCTTGTCTGTTGTTTGCTTGAGGTCTTAGCATGGTGATCCAGCTTTCTCCTTTGTTTCAGAATTTCTTTTCATGAAGCTTATATAATATTCCCTGGTCTTGAAGGATTATACCCAAATTTCTTTAAGAAATCAGACTGACCTAGAATCCCCCTGGGATTAAGACTTTATTGCACTGACTACTCTTGGCCTCTTGAACCACTATGGATTCTCTTTCACTCTGTCCCCTGATACCTGCAAAAGCTCTCTAATGCTTCACCTTGTTTTTTCATAGCCTCTTGGGCTGAGGAAGCGGTGGCCCATTGGCAGATGTTTGGGCTCCTTTAGTAACATTTGGAGGCCCAGTGGTTAAATATCGGGGAGGCTTACTTCTCAGAGCCAAGAATTTGACATCAAGTTTATGGTTAGAGTGAGAAAATCCCCATGTCACATAGTATCACATACACATGTCTTCATTGCAACAAGAACACCAGGAAAGTTGCCTGTATGTGAAAGAGTGGGAATGGGACAGTGAAGTTCTACAACAGGAACTCTGGTCATAATGTGATATTTGGGTCAGTATCCCCTCTGGAGTAGGGAAGAGAACAGAAAGTTGTGGCCCTGGAACAGGGCACAGCTGTCATGAGTGACTGAGCCTGTCAATCCTCATGCCTTGTTTCTTTAAGGGTATTGAGTCCTGCTCCCTCTAGCCCACCTTACTCCAAACCCCACTGATTACCATTTCTATCCACTCTGATGCCAAGTAACACTGGTTTTGCTATTAATTCAGAAACCAGGGTCCTCTGGTAGTCACCAACTCTAAGGTTGATTCTTCCAAACTAGCTTTTTACTGACTTAGCTAATCTTTCTATCTAAGAAGGAGTTTCCCTAAGCCAAGTAGTTTTTCCTTATACCAAACTTTAGTCTCAATAGTTCCTCGTTTAGGGTTAAAATCATAAACTCCTGTAAAAGGCAGCAGGGCATCTATTGCATGCTATCTTTTCCTTTGGGAGGAAACCAGGCCTCATTATTAATCACAAATGCAGGTCCAAACAAGATCATAGTCATAGGAGGAAGTCGTTTATCTTATTACTTTCATTTTGTTTCAGTAACATGATAATTCTGCTAAAGGCAGAGATTTCCCAGGTTTAGTTTCCCATTCCATCATCAGAGTTGGTTATCAGACCACTTAAAGAAGAGAAGGTTATACAAATTACAAAACCCAGGAGTAACTGGGGAAGGGATGTCCACCAAAAGAGCAGCGGCCATCGGCTTTCGGCTGGAACTTTGTCAAACAGCACTCTTGCCAAGAACCACGGAACTCTTGGAGCCAGCACCGTCTAACAAGTAAATGACAAGTTGAAAAGCAATACTTAATACATACAAAGGAATTCTCTTGAAATGAATTGTTTCCCTTTTAAATGAAAAACACACTATTGTTATGAACATATATTCCTATATGATTACAAACAATTCATATTCAGTGAAATTTACAGTAAGAAAAACAACAAGATAAAGGCCATTTGGGTTTTAGAAATGGCCCTGCAGGTAAAGGCACCTACCCCAAGCCTGACGACATGAATTCAATCCTCAAGACCCACATGGTAGAAGAGAGAACTGACTTCTGTAAGTTGTCCTCTGACCTCCACAGGTGCACTTTAGTGCACATAAACACTAAAAATAGATTTTAAAATGTAAGAAAAAATATTAGTCCATCAGTGAGATAAGAACTCTGAGGATTTTAGAATATTTATTTTTGTAAAGTTTTTGCATTACTGGCTTACAAATATATTTCAAAAACTTAAGTTGGTCATGGTGTCACATGCCTATAATTCTAACTGTTAAGAAGTAGAGGCAAGAGGATCAAAAGCTCAAGGTCAGCCTCAGCTATATAGCAAGTTTGAGACCAGCCTCAGCTACATGAGACTCTGTTTCCACCTCCCCGACCTCTGTAAAAAATCAACTCATGTTAAATATACTTGAAATTCAGTGATTCACACTGGGTAAAATTTCAATGTATAGGTAGGAATGCAAAAGGATTCAATTAACCTTTGAACAGTATTTTGATTGCCTGACATAAGCAATAGATTTTATTGATCAGAAAAAGAGGCAGCTATTTCTGAACACTGTTGCTATTTCAAAACAGACTTGCTTTGCTTTCAGTTTTAATCTCATTTATAAAGTGAAACAAAGTTTCATTATGTACCCTGAACTGGGTACTGGAATTTCTTTTCTTACAAAATCTGGGGATAACATTGTTGCTCTTTATTTGCCAAAACATGAAGCTGGCAGGCTGAGAGAGTTGCAGAGGGAATGAGAAGAGGCTGGCAGAGCTGGTGATTCCTGGACAGCTGTTCTCTAATTAGGGTCAAAAAGTCCAAGCCCCACTGGCTCCATAAGCAGTGTTAGGGGCTGAGCCTTTATTATATACATCTTTGGGGGGAGGTGGAGAGTTTGAGACAGGGTCTCACTCTGCTGCCTAAGCTGGCTTGGAACTCACTGTGTGGCCAAGACTGACCTTGAACTGCAGTGATCCTCCTCCTTTAGCTTCCCAGGTACTGGAATTACAGGTGTAAACCTTTACTTCCAGATCTGAGCTTTTTTCCTGTGCTGGCCTCAGGGTCAGAGTTAAGCTGTCCAGTGATTTCACAAAGTCCACCAAATTGCATTAGATAGTGGAGATGTAGTGTTTTATGAAGTTTTAGTATTAGAGATTTTTTTTTTTTTTTGCCTATTTATAATCCTTATAAGAGTGGAGCCACATCGTATGTACTCTACTCGGTTGCATTCCTTTGCAGACAAGCATTTTTAAGAAACGGAAGACTAGTATTGTTTGATGTTAGAAGAAGCCTAAAATACCCAGGATTGGCTTGAGGATTCAGCTTTGAACGCCTAAATAAAGCAAGTTCATGTCAGGTCATAGCTGCAGTTTCGATTTCTTTTACACCCTGGAAAATACAGGAAAAGTGGAGGAAAGGTGGCCCCAGTAGAGAAACTTAGTAGGACCCACAGCCTGGGGTTGGGCTGTGTCACTGTGGCTCTCTCCTGCCCCATCTGAGAAATTATTTTCCCAGTGTATGGAGGGGAAGGAGGAGGAAATTCACAGGCTGATGTAGCTGTCTAGAGCTAATGGGCTAAAGGATTCAGAGCACTGAATAGCAGTCAGATCTTGCATAGCCTTGGCTCTTGGAGCACCACCGACAGAGTGGGGTGCTCTAGTGTGGGTCCACCTTAGTCTTCTTCAGCAGCAATTGTGGAAAGTGATTTCTGGAAAGAAACACCTGTCATTCTCCCATAACTTTTCTCCCTTTTTAATGGGACTGAAGAAGCCTTGGACGGAGTAGACAGTTCCTAACAACAAAATCCAGTATTAATGCACATATTTTAAAAATTCTTAAAGGTGTTGGGATGCAACTCAGCTGGTAGAGTCCTTGCCTTTTATGCACAAAGCCCTAGGTTAGGTCTCCCATACCTTATAAAACTACACATGGTGACACACACCTCCAATCCCCGTATGTGGAAAGTGGAGGCAGAGGATCTGGAGTTCAAGAGCATCCATCCAATCTCTGCTGCACAGGAAGAAGAAGGACAGCTTGAAGTAGGAGGACAGCATGGGTTACAGGTGACCCTGTCTCTTAAAACAGCATCAACAAACAAAAATCCATTGTAACAATAAAAATAAATGAAAAAATTGAGCAACCTCTGACAAATGGTTCAAATGAGTAATTCATTCTCTCTCTCTCTCTCTCTCTCTCTCTCTCTCTCTCTCTCTTTCTCGTGCAGTGCAGTTTTCTCCCATCTGAGCTTCTCCCACCCGAGCTGAGCTTGTCTCGGGGCCCACCCATGACCCACAGACCCTACCTTAGGCGCTTGCTGGTTCCCATCACACTCATTAGCAAGTCTTTGCATTGAGTTTCCAGAGGACTGAGAACTCACAAGAAAACGTGGTGGTGGGCGGGGGAGTGCCAAGGGTCCCAGGACTCATGTGGGGCAAAATAAGTTTATCTGATTTGTAATTCGTGTATCTTTTTCTTTTTTAGGCAGTCTCACACTGTACTTAAGCAGTCTTGGAACTCGTGGCAGTTCTCCTGCCTCAACCTCAGTGCTGAAATTCCAGATGTGAGCCACCGCGCATGACTTATTCTTATCTGATTTACTGGGTGGCAGGGTAGACAGAGCACCTGAGCTCAATCTGCGAAACGTGTATAGCAACCCCAGAAAGTACGGAGGAAACCCGGGAATTCCTCCCACTCAGCTCAGTTCGCAAACTTTTTTTTCTTCTTCTTCAGGAAACAGTGTAGTTTCAGTTTCAGGTCTCTCCTCAGAAAGTACGGAGGAAACCCGGGAATTCCTTCCACTCAGCTCAGTTCGCAAACTTTTTTTTTCTTCTTCTTCAGGAAACAGTGTAGTTTCAGTTTCAGGTCTCTCCGTTTCAACATGTGTTTGGACCGCTGTTGATGAGCAGCTTCTAAGAACAGTGGCTGTTCCAAGGCACTGGGAGCAGGAGAAAGCACAGTGACCCGAGGCTGCTGAGAATTTGCCCGCTGACTGCAGACCCCGAGCTGAGCCAGGTGAGTCGCCCCCACACGTTTCTCTCTCAGCGAACCATATCTGCGTACACTCTGTGGCTGCGGATTCACATTGGTGGGCGAGTGAGGGCAACCTGCGGACCCGGCAAGTTGACTCTATGGAGTGTGGTCCCTCTGGACCCCTGAGCACAGGTCTTAGAGACTCTAGAGCAGACACACTGTGAGGCTGCAGAGCGCCCCAGGAAACGCAGGGGTGTGCTGCTCCTCTGGGATCTTTAACCTCTCACTGCAACTAAGAGCCCTGCTTGGGGGAATGGGAAGTGAGTGCATCCCACCGGAGAGTGCGATAATTTGGGAAAGAAGTTCTGTTTAAGACCAAGCAGACAAATCCAGGAGCCCTGCTGAGGCGGTCTGTTGGGGTACCTTCTCCCAGCCTGCTTCCTTCTGCCCTGAATGCTTTCCTGACTTCAGACATCTGTCCTTATCAAAGTGACCCAGAAGCTTCATTTTGCCATGTGGTGGAGACTGTCACTGACTGTATCTGAATTCAAACCCCGAGGTCCTTACCCCATTCTTTGCCAATTTTCTTCTAAGAATTTAGCATTGCCCTATCATCCATGCATCCATGCATCCATGCATCCATGCATCCATGCATCCATCCATCTTCTCTGCTTTATGATCTGTCCCCCTGGAATAGAGATCTAGGAAGCAGGGATTTACACCTATTTTGTTCTTACTTTTTGAAAATTGACATCTAACACTCTGACATGCGTCTCAATAAGCAGTCACAGAATGAATTCAAGTTCTTCAAATTCTTTTAGAATCCCTGAAAACTTTTCTTACCTTTTCCAACTTTATGTGTGCATTTTGCCTCCACTTGCTCCAAAAACTGAGGCTCTCAGGGCCTGGACATCAGTATTTTGCTTTTCTCATTGTGTTCTTTGAAAGGCCAGGCAATGTGATTTTATAGTTTGTCCTGGTTACTTTCTGTTGCTGTGATAAAACAATTGACCAAACCAACTTGGGGAGGAAAGTATTTATTACATCTTACAGCTAGCCATCATCAAGGGAAGCCAAGACAGGAACCTTGGAGTCAGGAACTGAAGCAGATACCCAAGAAGAAAGCTGCTTATTGGTTTGAATCCTCTGCCTTGCTCAGCTACCATTTTTTATACTGACCAGACCCACCTGCTCAGGGATGGTACCTCCCACAGTTGGTTGGGGCCTCCAACACCAACCAGCAATCAACAAAAAGCCTCATAGACATGGCCACAAGCCTCAACTGAAGTTCTCTCTTCCCAGTTGACTCTAGTTTGTGTCATTTGACAAAAAACCCACAAACAAACAAACAAACAAAAACACCTAATCAGCTGCCCTCAAACTCCAGATCCTCCTGCCTCTGCCTCTTCAGCGTATCCTACCAGCATGAGCCACCACATGTGAACTTGTGGCAGTGGTGGCACTGAACATAAGACCCATGCCAACTCAATCAGACAAGGGCCCAGAGTGGAGCAAGAGAAATAGGTGGCAGGCTGGCCCTAGACTGAGAACTAATGGAGACATTACTACTAGGTGACGGAGAATAGGCCTTACTTATATCTCTAGATAGACTGACTAGACTCCAGTGGATGAATCTGCACTGAAAGACATCTGGGTACAAATGCTTGAGTGGATAGGACTTAAGATGTGTGGCAGAACACATGAGTTCTGGTGAGGGTTGCGGGGTCATGGATGGGGGAGGGGTCTAAATTTGATTAAGAACCGTTGTATGAAATGTACAAAAGCTCAAAAAATTTTTTAAAAATCTTATCACACAGCACATAATTCTTATAAGAATCATGAGCTATTGAACATGAGATACCAGTCTGAAATGTTAACCTAATTATTTGCTTTGGAAGTATACAAAGTGTAGAAAGTTCATATACATGCTACACACACAGAATAAAAGCTGATGTGTGTCTGCCTTGAATAACCAGGAAAGATGACCTGAAGGTCACAGATTTCACTGACTGTTCTGAGTTACAGGCTGCCGTGGCATCTGAATCCATCATGAAGGCACCCATTTGTCTAGTAGAAAACAGGAAGGAGCAGCTGGCAGTGAATCCTGAAGCCATACAGATTCTCGACAAGATTTCTCAGCCCTTGGTGGTGGTGGTCATCGTTGGCCTATATCGCACAGGAAAGTCCTACCTCATGAATCGTCTTGCAGGACAAAACCATGGTGAGTGTCCTTCTGGGATAGGGGCCATCTGCTTGGAGTAGGGACAGTGTGAGCTGATCACACCTTTCTAGGGTCATCGTAAGGAAAACCTTCATCCCTCCACTGAAGAAAATCTCTCATTCATCAAATTTATAACTCCTAACCTATGCGAAAAATCACAATGCTTTGTATATCCGTAGTCCCCCAACTTTCTGAAAAGACAGCCCAATATTCCTCTTGATGCCTTAGACTCTCACCTGCTCAGCAGCTGAATGCCACCACATGCTCCCTTTCTTCCTCCTGCACATAAGCCATGTGCACCTTCCAAGTAGAACATGAACATAGTTTCATGCATCATTTAAAAAAATATGGTGGGGGGCTAGAGATATGACTCAGAGGTTAAGAGCATTGGCTGCTCTTGCAGAGGACCAGAGTTTGATTCCCAGCACTCACATGGCGGGTAACAACCATCTGTAACTCCAGCTACAGGGACTCTAATGCCCTCTTCTGACCTCCGCAGGCATTGCACAACATGGGTGTACTTGCATCCATGCAGGCAATACACTCATACACACAAAATAAAAATAACAAATAAAACATTTTTTAAAATACAGATGGGCTGAAGGATGCAGGCTACCCATACATTCCACATCCGAACTGGGTGACCATACATCTTGAGGGGTTATGTTCTATATTGTTCTGTTTTTTTGTTTTGTTGCTGTCTTGTTTTTGCTATTCAATGGCAAATCCTTTGAACAAGTTATTCTGTTATTTTATTATATTGGATTCCATAAGGCCATTTTCATGCATGTATGCACTGTGCTTTGAGCACATCTCCCTAACGCTCTTTCCGTCTCCCCTTTCTCACACCTCACCCCCAGGTTATCCCCGTGCTGCCCTAGACTTCACTTCCACTTTCGTGTGAACTCTACCTATATGCTGTTATGCATCTGTATAGCGTATAGGACCCCAAATTGAGAGAAAACGTGGCATTTGTCTTTCTGAAACCAACCTAATACACAATAGCAAATCTTCCATGAATTATTACCCCTTCCTTACTCTAGATGTCTGTAGTATGTAACACCCAGTGTACATGGAGAAAATATTGACACTAGTTAAAGCACATGAAGTGAACATCATATTGTTACTATCCAGACAAAGAAATAAAACTTACTGACACTGAAGGGCCCGAATCGCTCCCTCTCACACACTCCATAAAGTTCACCAACACCTTCATTTATACGGCACACTTCGTGTGTATGTGTGTATGTGTGTGTGTATGTTATGTGTACATATGTGTGCAGGTATGTGTACCCCATGCATGTGTACAGACTACAGGAGGACATTGGGTGTCCTGCTCTTTACTTTCCTCTTACTGCCTTGAGTCAGCGTCTCTCATTGAACTTGGAGCAAGGCTGGCAGCCAGCAAGTCCTAATGATCCTTCTGTGTCCGTCCGGACAGTTGTGGGCTCCCGGTGCTCATGTGTTCCTGCTGGGTGTTTACTTGGGTGCCAGGGATGCAGAATCAGTTCCTCATGCTCTTGCAGCAAGTTCTCTTACTCAGGGTTCGAACCATCTCCCCAACCCCCAATTCTTGCTTCTTAAAAATTATCCTATTGTCTATTATGCATGTAAATCAACAACTTAGTGTGGTCTCTTTTTTTTTTTTGAAGTTTATTTAAAGGAAATTATGGTGTATGTATTCTTGGGTGGCTTGTTTTGCTTATTAGAAACATATAGACTTCCTGTAAGTACCACATGTATCCATAGTTTCATT